CTGATGTGGTAGTCACGGCTTATTTTAACACGACTGCCCAAAATAAGGGTGCAATGTTTTCAGGGTTCATGTATGAATGTATGCTTCTTCATTCCACTAGATCTTCTAAATGCCCGAGCCGATTTTTCCTAATTAATCAGTAGGAAACGCCTGTACACCAGCAGTGGGAATATTAATAGGCTGTAGATCAGAATGATGTAAATTATATGATTTTTATACTATTTTAAAAATAAACGTAATGTCTGTATTATTACTAACGCCGTTAGCATCTTATGTGTACATAATAAGTTTCTATAATTGGCCTAAATATTGTTTTTATATTTTATTGTATTAAATCCGCAAAGATCGCTGTAGAATCTTTGATGAAGATAAATAAATAAATAAAGTTTTGTGAACATGGCGCCCGAACGTGGGCTCAAAAATCATGTAACTTTTGTAACGCATTTTTTTATACCCGTCACAAATTGACGCATTTCTCGATCGAAACAGTCTTAAATATAATAAAAAAATGTGCTTTTAACAGTGAAGTGAGTGAAACATTGATTAAGTGTTATGTGTTAATTAATTTCCGAAGATGTTGGTAACAGTGGGTAATTTACTCACACAGTCTACCACCAGTCTTAGACTTCAAGGGGTAAGTTTTAATAAGGTTTATTATAAACACACTAATATTATAAAGTCGAAAGTTTGTGAGTGTGTATGTTTGTTACTTCTTCACGTCTAAACGGCTGGAGTGATTTTAATAAAGTTTTTATGGAGTGAGCTCCCACCCTGGATTAACACATAGGCTACGTTTTACTGCGGAAAAATATCCCTAATAAACCGCGGGTAACACCGCGGGGCACAGCTAGTTATAAAATAAAGTGCGGCCGAGTGCGTGTCACGCCACGCGTAATGTAATGCCAAAACTTAACTTATGTACTTGTAATATGCCTTATAAGTTTGACGGGTTTACTTTAAAGTGCTTAGATTTGGAAAAAATAATGAGGCTGCAACCTCATTTATTTCATTTCAGTGAAGAGAGCTTTTTTGCAACTCAAAAACTATAGATACGCAATATTTTGAAGAGAAAGTGTAGGTTTATTTTATTGAAACATTTTGTTTTTTTTCTGTTTAATGAAAATTGAGTAAGCCGTTTTAAGTTTGTATATGTTTGCAAATAGTAATAATTACAAGCCCCTTAAGCTCAAACTTTTTTAAAAATAAAGAGAACTTAAATTAAATTAGTTTACATCAGCGTAAGGCTCTTGAAAAACCTATGAAATGGTTATTGTCAAACTTGGTAGCCCTAAACCATAAAACCGAGATCAGCATTGTAACATTTTTATTACAGCACTGATAAAGATGATTATTTATACTATTAGACACGACACTTATGTTAAAATTTCTATGAGATTTCACCGAAAATGATTTATTTCGAGTTTTCACGTTGAAAGTTTAGATTTTGGCGTTTGACTAGAAAGAACCAACTTTTCAATAGCTATTACTCCGTTAGTATTAGGTTTAAGGATATTTAAAACCAGTATTTTGTTTATTCTTTATAAGCTAAAGTTTTACTATGAGTGATTTCTTTTCATGAAATATTAATTTTATAACTTATTCATGAAAAACCTTTGAAAACGTGATTTTTTTTATATTTGACTTTTCCACTGTCGAATAAGTCGAATAGTATTGACTTCAGTAAAAACTTTCTAAAACAAAAGTTGCTTAGAATTAGTCAATCTAACCCTTTCCAAACTTATTTTTAGTAAAAAAATTTAATCCCAGAAAAGGGGAAGTGTCGTCCACCCCCAGGGAAATAGCAACCCTCGACACATTAAGAATTTTGAAGTAGACGGTAAATATAATCCTCAACTAAATTTTGGTGTAAATTAGTGCTGTTTGGCAGAATTGTCACGGATTCCCGTTTTTTTCGTGCATTTACTTGACTTATAAATATAGCTGTCGCGTCGTCGGAGCTACCCTGACTCCTCCATTCCATATCCGTTGGAGCCTTGAGACCTCAGTCACCGATAGAATAAAGCAAAGGTAATGTTAATCAGTGTGGTCTTCTGTAAGGTAGAAGCTACTTTCATAGACGGTTTCATTTTTCACGGGTCCAATTTGAGCGGACAATCCGCAATTTTCTGTTATAGTAATTAAGTATTTCCTAAATCTAAAGAACATTTTACTAGAAAAAAATCCACGCGGACCAGGGGCCCAATTGCCTAAGGACACTGCAATTGCTATTGCTATCGCAACGATTTGATTTTGTTATTTCTGACCGCCGAAGGTTTTCAAATGACTCGCACTCTTTTTGTTTTCTTTTGCATTGTTAATAACAATATTCATGAAAATGAGCGTGAGGTATTTAAAAACCTTCGGCGGTCAGATATAACATAATGAAATCGTTAGCGTTAGCCATAGCAATACTGTTAGGCAATTGGCCCCCAGACAGCAGACGGGACTCGAACCCGCACCCTTCGCTATCCGGGCGAATGACTGCACTGACCATTATGCTACCGCGGCCCTGATGGCCGTGTCAAATTTTCTCTAGCCTTCCTTAGGCTGAAACGCTCCTGCCTGGTCCGCGTAGCATATTTTCTAGTAATATTTTCTTTAGATTTAAACATCGAGCAGTTAAAATTGAGTCATCGTTGTCAATTGATCATCATTAGCCTTTCGCCTTGCCAGGTCTTGGCTATGTATCTACCTGTCTATAGGAATGACCTGGGTTACAATTTTTTGATAAAAGATCTAGACATCATGTGTGCCTCATTATTCTTTTCTGGGGAACGAAAGTTAAACAGACATTTGAGTTTAGTTAAAACATTTACCATGTGCATTTACTAAAATCGTTTAATTTTGGACAAACAACAAAGCTTCCTATTGGCAAATATTTATTATGCCTTCAAAAAAATATTTACATTATATAAACAGACTGTTAGTTTATCACTTAACTTTAATAAGTACTTTTGGGTATGATTTTCATTCATAACAATGAATTTATTATTTACTAGCGGTCCGCCCTCGCTTCGCTTCGGTGTAGAGCTGAAGTATAGACTACAGTTTTTGTTGTCAGGCTTGTATTATACACAATGACATTCATCTATGATTCTTCTTATACCTGCATGCAAAGTCTCAGCCCGATCGGTTTAAAATTGACAAAGTTTCATACAAACTTTCATTCCCTATTTTATCCCCTTGGGGGTAGAATTGATCAAAATCTTAGCGGATGCCTACGTCATAACATCTACCTGCATGCCAAATTTCAGTAGTTTGGGCTGTGTGTTGATAAATCACTATGTCAGTCAGTCACCTTTGACTTTTATATACATATATAGATAATAACGGTCATTTTTATTACCTGTATTTATAACCAAACTAAAATTCTCATATTTCCGTTTTCCAGTACTCATTTTCTACACGTTTACATGATTTATTTGCTAATTTTGTTTACAAATGTTTGGTTTTTATTCTAAGATAAGCACGGTTTCTCAATATCAATTATTGTCTGTCAATAAGGTCGAACGCTCTGAACGCATCAACAGCCAAATATTGAATGAAGCTCGCTTTCTTTTTTTTTGTTTCCTCCCAGGCGGGGGAGCGGGTGTGAAATCCTCATGGATACCCTACAGCCGGCTGTAGAGTTATGTCAGACTCTTACTGACTAAAACACACCCGAGGGGGGTGCCTATGGCCTTAGGGGCCTTACAGGCTTCATCTGATGCGATCAACCCCTGAGAAGGGGATGATGCAGCGCTGCCTTAGTAAATACTACTGCATAGTGCGCTTAGAGGACGGATGCACCCTGATGTGCATCGCCACGACCCGTGTCGAGCGCGGCAGCCGTTACACAAAAATAGTCCTTAAAGCATGATTCAGTATTCACGTGCGACGGCGCGATGGCTTATTTCATGTATAAGTTTGGTGTTTCTATACCGATTTCTATGATTCTTCTTTTATTGAATAGGTAATAATGTTAACTTTTTTAAATTAGGGATGAGTGAGAGTATTATAAACGTAAGAGTAAACAAATATAATCAGAATGCTCCGAACTGCTAAGCTATCAGGAGTTACACGTGTTATTGTGAGTCAACCTTAAAAGATAGACATATGCTGTTGCGGGATATTTTTTAGACAATTTTATGTAGAATATTTCTGTCATACATGATTTCTATGTAACTTTAACCATTAAGGCTCCACACGCGACGGAAGCTTAAAAAATGGAGTAACTTCTCCCGTTTTCCCAACATTTCCCTTCACTACTCTGCTCCTATTGATTGTAGCGTGATGAAAAGTATACTATAACCTGCCCAGGAGTATGAAGAATAATTGTACCAAGTTTCGTTAAAATCCGTCGAGTAGTTTTTGTTTCTATAAGGAACATACACACAGACAGACAGACAGACAAAAATTTTACTGATTGCATTTTTGGCATCAGTATCGATCACTTATCACCCCCTGATAGTTATTTTGAAAATATATTTCATGTACAGAATTGACCTCTCTACAGATTTATTATAAGTATAGATAATGAATGTATTTGTAACTCGCTTGTTACAAAATACTCGCTGATTCTATGTAAATCGCTGCGGTTACAGCAAGTGTTATATTATTCGATCCGCCTGCGACACGACCGCGCCTCGATATATTTTTAACACACTTTACGCTATACACTGCGTGTCCACAAGAAGAAATCGATCAGCAAGTTCTCAATACGCGAGTATTGTATCGCAACCGATCGAAGAGCGCGCAAATGCACGAGCGGATTACCTATCGACGCGTGTCGCGGGGAGCGGGCCGACGAGCGAAGAGGACAGCGATATTATGTTGTACAGCGAGAGCGGGAGCGAGCTTGACAGCGGACGCGCGGGTCACGCGGTGGGAGACGGAGCGGGGCGGAGCGGTCAGTATCGCGCCGCGCGTCGACGCTGCCGCTCGCCGCCTGCCGCTCCCGCTCGCGCATCCGCTCCGCGATGAAGGCGAAAGTGAGAGCCAAGGGAACGCGTTCCAAAAACATGGACAAGCTCATTGCGGCTGTCCAAGCCCGCGAATGCCTCTGGGACAAAAGTTACAGAGGCCACAGGAACAGATTTAAGCTGGAGAGATACTGGAATGAGGTGGCCGCTGAGGTCGGGACCACCAGTGAGTATGTTTTGTTCCTCGCTAGCGGAATGCCCGCCATATTGTTTGTAAGCGCGTGGAAGGAACCATGGTTGCGAACTCAGATTGTAAACGCCGACCGCGACCGCTCGGCTACGGTCGAGTCTCGTTTCGACCCGCTAGTCTTGTCCATTAGCGAGTTGTGCATCATAATGTTTCGTATCTGTGTGTATAAAAAGGTTGTTAATACTTTGATAATGATATCATATTCAGGCCATAAACCTAATTAAACTTACTAAATCGATTGAAGGAAATGAAACTTTATAAATGGCAAAGAATACAAATTTTGCATAATTAAGTTAATTCACAGAGTCGAATAGGTAGTATATTATAATCTATTTAACGATGTAATATAAAATAACATCACTTTACAGATGAACGGCATGTAAAATTTAATACTTAAAGTATAATAAACATAAGAGCATTTTGTTCTCCACAAAAACGTAAACACATATAGACATAATTGCATTTCTAAAAGTACGATTCTAATCAATCTGCTGTCTTCGCAAGAATCGCACGTTGGCTTTCCTTGAAACTTAATTATAATATTAAGGCGTAATGTAAATTACTGCTGTTACTTACAATAATGATCTTTACATTATAAGCAAAAACTTTGATATACTTGATTCCTTTAGAAGGTTAAAGTGTGAGATTTTGCGTAGGTAGGTATTTAAAGATCAAATAGATAATTGTGTATCTCATTTAAATAATGATAATTATTATATAGTAGAACACAATTATAGCAATGATTATACAGGAGCACCCCTGTTTACTTACCATAAATGAATTGCGGTAATTTCAAATCAAAATTATTTGGTACTACAATAAAGATTTAAGTGATACAAATAAGGCCGGCTCAGCTTTCCATTATATGTAATTGAGTTGCAAGCTGAAATTTTTGTCACGCAAAGTATTAACTATTAAAAACACGTACACGAAATCTTTTTAGGCGGAAACGAATAGAACTCGAGAAAAAACTTATTGAAAATTAATATTTTTGTAGGTTATGAGTCAATTTTGACAGCAATTTTGATCTATTGATTTGTGCTGCCATTTTTTTATGCAAAAATAACATGATTCTCGTTGTCTATGGTAAATATAAGTTTATTATGTTGGTACTATTGTCAAAATGTGACAATTTACCGCCATTAATGAGATCTGTCAGTCAGTGTTTGTGTTCGTCGCAGTTGAGAGCTTTTTCGTACTCCTGTTGACATCGTCTGACTACCATGGCATCCTCAAAGCCTTCGGCCTCGAGTTCTGCTGTCCCATCGCCTGAAGAGTCGAGTGTAGTGCGAGTTTTGGACTCTAATGAGCCACTTGTGTGGTGATACTTCACACTAGGTTAGGTTAGGTTAGTGTTGTGACCTTAACGCGCGAGCCGAGCGAGCGAAGCGAGCGTGCCGCGGCAGCGGCCGGCGAAGCGCCAGAAAGAAAAATTCGTTAATAGAGACTTTTTTTTACAAAAAAATCAAATATCACCTCTAGGCCCTGGAAGTACAGTTTTACCTTTAAAACCCCTCTATTTTTTTATAATTATCATTTCTGTAAAAAAACGACCCTTCCCTCTGAGGGGTCTTCCCTAATACCTATCCCCCTGAAATTCCACTACATATAACAGATTTAACGAATTTTTAGGTTAGGTAAAAAAAAACTGCATTTCCGCCAAAAATCTTTTATGGCGGGGGGGTCGGGGGGAGCCCCCCCTCCCCCTCCCCTACAAATTACCCCGAAATTCAATTACATATAATGGAATTAAGTACCTTAATTTGTCGTAATTTTTATCGAATTTCAATACGTTATTCATTGAAGTTTTGTTTCAAGCAATGTATACGGATCACAATATAACTAATCAAAATGTTAACTTATGACTTAAAATTGCAAGTTTTAGAATATGCGAATTAAATACTGCTTCTAACTTTTATGAAGTATAATACTTTTATGTAATAATGCAACGAGGATAGCTGGTATAGCAGGTAGAACTGCTGTATTAGCTATCTTCGCGTCTGGACTCCTCTGTCACCTAGCATCAGCTGGAGTGAAATCATTTGTCGGACCTATTTATAAAAACAGAAATACACATTCTGTGAATATGGTTAAGGTTCAGGAGACACAACTCGCTCAGAGACTAATAGACAGCAGTCTTAGTAATAGGATCTTATTGTCACCATTTGGTAACGAATCCTTAAAAAGCGTACTAGTTAACAGAAAAACTCGATATAAAATTAAGTTGATAATGTTCTTAATACATAGCGCTGAAAAGAAAACCTTCTTTGACCCTAATATGATAAAGAGCGAATATGTATACTTAATGTTTAATTTTATTCCGCTTAAAAGCATTACCAGCGTTTTTTTCACGTACATGTATTTTAAATTATGATTTTCTAAAATATTAATTTGTATTTATTGTGATAAAACCACAATTTCAGGCCTCAATTGCAGAAAGAGATGGAAAAACTTAAAGGACCAGTGCCGTAAGGAGATGAAAAAAAACCCGGCTGATTCGGAATGGCCACATTTCGACAAACTGAAGTTCATTCACAACCAATTCTTGGCGGAAGACGAAGAAGGCGACGATGATACCACAGATGAAGTTTTCAATTCCCTTGATGAATCTATAAAGACGCCAAAACTCGGATATACAATGAGAAAGAAATTGTTGATGAACAAAAGGAGAACAATAGACGTGGACATGAACAAACTGATAGATTTGGTGAGGGCGAGAGAGATAATTTGGAATAGACAACTGAAAGGGCACCACAATTGGTACAAGTTGGATGAGAGCTGGAAAGAAATCGCACAAGAATTAGGAGTAACACGTAAGTGTCTGATGACTATTCAATTTATAATGCGATTCAACTAAGAATAGGACCGACTGGGCGCCTTATTGTGACGTCATAGCTGTCAATTCAAACCAAATAGGTAGAGTGAGCAAAAAAAGTTTTTATTTAATAAAACTTATTTACTAAGATTAAGTGAGAAAAAACATCACATTTTTTTAATTTTTTTTTTACTAAGATTGAGAAAAAAAACAACCGATTTTCAATAATATTTATTTATTAAGACTGTGTGCGAAAAAACATTAATCAGAATCAAACTTTTAAATTCCGCTCATCTCTGCATTACCGCCGGAGAAGTTATGAATAATCATGCACTATTACTAGGTCACACAGGAACATGCATTCTTAAAGACCTATTGTAGATGGATGTAATCCAGCAGCGTACCAACCAAGGTGACCTTGATGGGAAGTTGGTTTCCATCCGCGTTATGATTTTCGGCTACACGGATGTAATCCACGCGCCAACACGCATTCGCGAGCCGTCATCTGGCGTGAAAACACGTATGCACTTGTATCATGCGCGGACTATATTAACCGTGTTGTAAACGAAAGTTTCAAAAAGAGTTTACGCAACTCAAAGTGACATTTGGTTGACGATTTAGGTTATCAACCAGTCATAGTCAAAGCTCAATAAATGAAAAAAAATATCAAACAATATTAATTTTAATATTTGTTATTTTTTGTTTACAAATGTTTGGTTTTTATTCTAGAATTAGCTGAGTGCAAAAAAGGGTTCCAAGATTTTTTTGCAAACCGTACTTTTCAAGCGACATTTGACAGATGGAGGTCATTGGTTTTCCTATTCTTACTTGAATCGCAAGATAGTTGCTTATACTTTATAATAGAGTAAATTGGAGCAAATCTGCTTACATATATTTTCAATGTCCCAAACATTTCTAAGGATAATTCTACTAGAAAAATATATACTCGTTCCACGTACCAATCTGGATTAGAACCAACATCCTTTGCTATTCTTGTGAATACACCAATAATAGTAACAATTTATTATATTTATTTCTTACACTACAAAGCTAAATTGCGCGAATTGTCCACAATAAAGGTTCGAAGATTATAGACCGTTGTACCGAATGCACCATTGAATTGCACTAACGAATAAACAATGAACTCTAAATTCTCGGTTAGTGCAATACAAATTTCCCTCATTGTTATTACGAAAATTTACTCCAGTTACAATAATTGAATTAAAATTGTAAAATTAATATTTATAACATGCAAAGCCAAAGCTAACTAACTACCTGATGGGAAGGATAACTACTTTAAGATGTCGCATACCTACGCAGATATCATAAATCGACGTGATTTCGTGTTAAATTTTCATAGTAGAATTAATTTAGTTGTATTTTGAAAGGACAATGTTAAAATTGGCCTAAGAACCAACACTAATTTGGCATTTATGATAATTCTTAGTATATTTTTTGCGATAATTATCAATATTTAGATTGTGACGGACACTTCCAGTTAAGTAAGCTAAATTAAAAAGTTAATAAATAATCTGAGACAATAAATATGTGTATAATCTATGACAGCGTTGCAAACAAAACACTCTTTCTTCCTAATGCCGGCACTTCACTTGGCTATTCGTATTTGCTATTTAAAACATGACATCAGTCTGTCCTTTTCATTCCTTATTAAGCATGACAAGGACAAACAGTTGTCAAATGAAGGGCCGGCATAAACTCGATACTCTGTGGTTGTGGTGCAGGCAGTTTACATTCGTAGTAATCTGTGGCATTTGTGCATTCTTCAGTACTTTTTATATACGGAAAATTCTCGTTTCGGATTACCTGTTGTGTGTGTTTATTTGCGATTGTTTTTCCTTTAATTTAACTTTTACTATTTCGGCTATCTAATATCCCATCGATGTTACCAAAAAGCAGGGACCTTATTACCAAGTGCTAGTGAACCTGTGCCACAACATCCTGAGAGGATCATACTGCCAAATTATTCAAAAGCACCTGATATACATTCACGCTGCATATTTACACAATATACATGTGTTAAACAAATAAATACATTATGATACAATTATGTGAAAAATAGCCAATACATAATAAGAAGCAAAACTACAGTTTTTATTTTATTCATGATTCCTACTTAAGCAAGCTTTTCCTAATAGTTACTCTTTAAAATCGCACCGAATGATATGAATTAGTTGTAATATTAATTCACTTCAAACTGAGTTCATACTAAGTTTGTAGGTTGACCTATGTTTCATTGAATATTAAACATAACCTCAAAAAAAAAATTAGTTTTCCTAATAATTTAAGTTCTCAGAAGTGTCCGTCAATAATCTTTGTTTTTACAGTCATTTACTTGCGATTTCGAACCTAGAAAATAATATTTCATGATTGTTGGTTCTTAGGCTAACTATGTATGGACGCAGAACAATGTCCTTTGGTGACTCATTTCTTTGTCGCACTATCCGTAAATGGAATGCTCTGCCCGCTCACGTGTTCCGTCCCTCTTACAACCTGGGATCCTTTAAGAGGCGTGAAGAAGCAACATGCAGGCCGGCCGGCAGGGTGAGGATGGCTGGTGTGGCAGGTAGAACTGCTGTATTAGCTATCTTCGCGTCTGGACTTCACCTTCACTTAACATCAGGTCGGGTGGAGTCATTTGTCGGACCTATCTATAAAAAAAATCCTACTTCGGTTACTCCGATGATTATGATCGGGTAATAATGTAAATTAGTGGATATTTAAAATATAAAATAGACATTATTTTATTCTAAGAACTAAGATTATTATGTGTTTATTATAACTACTTAATAAGCGCTTATGGCAAAATAATAATGGTTTAATATATTTCTTGTCATTACATTTCTAGAAATATTGGTTTTGGAATGGTTATTAAAACTAAGACCATCGTTAGTCGCAGACTCGGCACTATGCAAGTAGGCACGTCGCTTGCTTATGACCATCTGTGCTAATATTCATTACATATGTTATAAATCTTATGGTTCTTACCACCAAGCGAGGCTGCATCTAGTGGAGTCCTAATCATGATAATTTCTGAGTTGTCGTCGTCGAGGTAGTGAGATCTCTTTCATTTGTGCCAAAAACTGCCAATCAAGCTTTCGTCTATCATTCCATAGTTCTTAATTTCGAACGCTAAGTAAATTAAAGGTTCTCACTTAGAGCATTCTAATGGTTCTCATGATTCCACGGAAATGTTTCTTATATATGACGACCTCCGTGGCCGAGTGGTTTGTACGCCGGGTTTCATGGTGTCGCCGACTCGAGAGGTCCCGGGTTCGAATCCCGGTGGGGGTAGATGTTTGTGTGATGAATACGAGCATTTGTACTCCAGTCATGGATGTTTAATATGTATTTCTATATAAATATACTTATATATGTACAATATATGTATTCTATCCGTTACCCTAGTATCCCATAACACAAACCTTACAGTGCTTACTTTGAGGCTAGGCTAATTGGTGTGAGTGTTGGTAATATTTATTTATTTATTTATATGTATGCATAAATATGTATGGAAACTCTTAAAGATAACTTTTGCTCTGATTCTCTAGAATTGAATACATTTAAATGAAAAATTAACATATTAAATTACAGGTGACGAAGCGCGCCTGAAGTGGAAGTACCTACGTGATCAAGCCCGGAAGGAGGTCAGGAAAGATGACTCAGAATGGGAGTATCTCCCCAAAATGCAGTTCCTCATCAACCAGTTCAATGATTACGAGAACAATGACATCAGCCAAGACGACCAATACCACGACTATGATACAGGCGCAGATCAGAGCAGCAGCTACTACTGCGTCGATCCACCTCCTCAAGAAGTCAATGTCAATGTAAGCGTCAAAGACGACGACTTTGATGAATTTGACACTAAACCTATAATTCTTGAGACTGATTTCTATGATGACGAGGATGACGCACAAAAGAGCGCAGACACAAACAATGACGGTTGTGAAGGCAGCAAAGATGAAGACGTTGGATTTTTCAGCAGCTTGCTACCCCACGTAAAGAAATTGGGCCCAGCCAAGAAGCTGATGTTAAGGATGAAAATACAGGAATTAGTTTATAATACGGTGTACAGCGATCCGTAGGATATGCTCGACGCTTAATTAAAGCAATATCTGTTACACATTTAGAGAATGTGTGTAGTGATAGCATTTGAGATTCATTGAATATTTTGAAACTGTCTCGAAATTATCAATCGTAAATTTTATCATTGATGAATGTGATTGTTGGTTGATGATTATCAATCGGAAATTATAGATTTAAATGGAAGTGATTGTTGATTTGGTAAAACTTTTGTTTTACTTATCCGTGGTGAGCATTTACAGCTAACGGCAACCAATTTGGTTACTTTTAAATCCTCGATTTTGTTTTAAAAAAATTCAAACCCCAAGGACAGTAGAATGTTTCCAGTTAATAATGTGTTTGAGTTTTCTAATAATAATTTCAATACTCAAAGTTATTACGTATGAAAGGTAGAAATTAAATGGTTTGTTTGATTCAAAAAGTTGACCATAATTATTCGAGGACAGAACAATGCAAGTAACAAACCTAACATCGATTTAAATAATCAAAAAAATGAATGGATATTATTAACAACTTATTGGGTTGTTAATATTGACCGTCAAAATAATGTTTAGGTTAAATATTTCATTTTAAAATATTTATTATTTGAATATATTGAAGAGTCAATTTAATTTAATATTTCACTAATATTGCCACCGTCTTTATATCTAGTCCGGTTGGACCTGGATATGTTTTTAATTTATTTCAGTCGATGAAGCAAGTGTGTGTATATCCTGCAGAGGCTTAGGTTAGAAAATAGTATATTATGTTATATATTAAGTTGCAATTAATTATTACCGTCAAATATCCGCCGTTATTTGATTACCCAATTATTATTAATTATAAAGTTTTATGGATTTAAAAATATTTATGCATTGAATTCACTAGAGTTTTGATATATTTAAAATTGTATTAAATTTCCATCTCATGACTTCTCCTATAACTTTAATTGGATACTTTAAAAGAGATGTAGGAACAGTCTTATCTTCGCAACATAATAACTAGAAATATCGGATATTTGATATTGATGGTAGGTGACTCAACAGCCGTTCTTTCATACTCCGCAAAAGATGTTTTTAATGTAAATATTGTTTTAAACTTTCATTGGTGTAAATCTAGTGAATTCAAACTTAACAAATTTTAAATATTGGTACAAACATATTAAGTTACAAACTCCACACTCAGATGTTAAGACTCTTAACACGCAACGTGTTAAGTTAATTCTGAAAATGACTTTGTAAATATTGATGCTTTATGTAATTGATGTCTTTTAATTGGTTGTTAGCAATGAATTTACATACCTAAGTTGTTAGTCTTTTCGAATTTTACAGATTTATCAGTAGTACGCAGTTTCGTACAAGAAAAATTATAACTAATAGCAATTTTTATTTATAAAACAAAGGCAGTCGTTTTTTTTAGCCTTTCCCAAGTAAGTTATTATAATTTCATAATTTATTATTTGCATCATGTCGCGATTGTAACAATATTATTTTTTATGGTGAAAGCATGATTGAAGAATTGAATCCTTCTACATTAAAAATTCTGTTAATTTTGCTAGGAATTCGTAGGTGACTCTAAATCTTAGGTGATTTTAATAGAAAGTATCAGAAGCATACTAACAAACAATTATGTATAAAATTGTTCTCTTACTGAGGATATTACACAAACATACTAGATTATAATTTTAAACTTTATTTAGTGTTTACCTATGTTATAATTACGAATGAAAGTATTTTATAGCAAAGAGAATTTGAATTTCGTATTACGAATATGCGCAAATTGTATGATTAATGTTTGTTGTACATTCCTTATTTTGAAACTTATTCAAAATAATAATTAAAAATATCTTCTAAATAATGTTTGCTTTTTATTTTTGTTACCTAGTCCAATTAATCCAATTGATATGCTCCATGGGGTAGGGACTAGGCATTCAGGGTAGGCAACTGCGTAAGTGATATTTTTGGTATCGCAAGCGTCAAGTCTGGTGGCCGCTTACCATTAGGCGGGCCAATCTTTAGCACATTTCCTCAAAAATGCATTTATGAAGGTTCTATACATTGTTCGAAAGTTCAAAATTGCAGGTCATACAACGGAGCGTGCGGTAAAACGTTTAACTGCACGCTCCCATACATGGTGCCGTGCGTATCTTTTACGGTTTTTTTAATTTCGGTCGAACCTCCTTGGCTTTTAATCTATACATTTGTCTCACTTTAAAACTAAAAGAAAAAGAGACTACCTACTACTTCTGATTTTCACCAACCGCACGTGGCACCAGCCTGTGGCTCAGTAGTGGGAACATTAGTAGTGCCAATTTTGGCCTCGCTAAGGTGAAATTTTACGCAATTACATTTAGCTGGTAGCAGAGGTACATATGAAAATACCACTTTCTCCTGGTTCTGACAATCTCGTATCGTAAGGGCTGGCGTAGTCAGTAGTAATTTAAAAGTATGTAAAAGTTGTATCTTTTGTTTATACTTACTATATTTTTATTTCCAGCATAACATTGTAAATTTTTACAGAGTAGCACTATTGGGCATAGTTGTTTGAGTGTGTTGATTTCTTATATTTCTTAGATACAATTTTTATTATAATCTTATATACTTATAAAATTCTCGTGTCACAATTTTAGTTACCATACTCCTCCGCAACGGCCTGACCGATTTTTATGAAATATATGCATATTCCGTGGGTCTGAGAATCGGCTACTATCCTTTTTTTTACATATCCATAAGTGATAATGGTTTTCCACCTGCAACGTAGTGCTCTGAAACCTGCTTTTGCGCCTTCGCGCCAAAATTCAAACTATTGGGTATTATAACGTAGTGTTCTCATATGGGTTAGGAGGAATGTTATTTGGGACATTTTTTTTTTAAATGTGGTATTAAAAAATACATACAACCCTAAATTTTCTGTTCTACCACCTGCCCCTTTTTTATGGCGGTACGATGTTCGCTGGGTCAGCTAATAGCATATATTTTTGTTCAAGGTGGACAAAAGTATCTGAGTCGTGAAAAAAATGACTGCCAATGACTTATTACGGACTCAACACCCACACGACGCGTGCTAACATTTGCCGCCCGATAATTTAGGGAAACGCACGCCATGGAAGTTAGTTTAGGTATTTAGTTTACGTTCCGTTTGTAGTGTTAGTGTTAACTACAAAAAAAAACTTTTACCCCAAGACAATTAATACTGAATTTGGTTTCTACCTGCCCTCTCATTACAAAAATATGTGTCTTATATTTTTATCTCGTCAAGTTTTTTTAATAAATGAAGTTATTTCGCTAACTTGTTACAGCAGTACCATGGAGTTACCATGGCGCTGAGTTAATATTCGTTTTTGTTGTATTAAACATTTTAGAAAGATATAGCAAATAAGAAAGATAATTAAAGATAAAAAATTTCATAGTCATTTATCCAGTGTCGAAAAAGATACTTGGTATTCATTTAAAGCAGTAGGTAGTAAAAAAAATCTTGGGTAATCATAAATCAGAAGATTACGAAAAATTGTTTCCAATTTGTCGAAGAATTACCATAAGATGGGGGTGAATATTTCGTTAAAAATTCATTTTTTACATTCGCACCTGGATTATTTTCCTGAGAACCTGGGAAGCGTAAACGATGAACACGGTGACCGTCTTCAATAGATTTGAAGATTTATGAAGAGAGGTATCACGGTTTTGGGATAAAAATATGTAAGGTGATTACTGCTGGTCTATGTTAAGCGAAACTGATGCTAATCAGTATAAAAGAAAAAGTTATCTGTGTCATTTTTGATTTATATATTTTATATAGGTCGCACATAGAAAATTGTTAAAAACAAATATAGTAAATATTTAAAAACGTCTTTTTGACGTCCTATTCTTTTCTAACTTCAGTATCTAACATAGGGTTTATTACTCTACTGATTCACATTAATTTCATATATGGGTAAAAACCTTGTGAAATAGTGTAATTAACTGAAGTTTAAGAAAATGAGCAGACATTTTAAAGGATCACACGGGGTCCATTTCTTGAAATCGGTTCTAGCGCACAACGTACAGTAAAGTTCGATGTGTGCGTTGCTGCGCCTAGTCACATGAGTTCTATTTTTTTGGAGACTCCCGCGTTACTTTTGTCTGCCGTAATATATTGCTTACAACTGCATCCAGTAACAAACTCGGTGGATTAAAAATATGTACAAAAAGTCCTCTGAACTACCACGGACACTAAGAAACCTACGTATGCACAATGGCGCATGAAATCGATTGTAAAATTTTAATATAAGATGCAGAAAAGAGAACTCTTATAAATAATACATCAAAAAAAGAGTATCACCACAGAAAGGACAATGGCGAAATATTTGTTGAAGGAAAACTGTAAGGATAATGGCGAAATATTTGTTAGATTTCATCATCAGAAATGCAAATAAAATAATCTTAACGGATTTATCAAATAAGTGAGGAGGGTTAATTGTCTAAGTCTGGAATTAAAAACTTTAAATTAAGTAATCACATTTTTTTTGTGGCTTAGCGTCATGCCTTTTGAGTCTTCTATTTTCAGTGATTAAATCAACTTCAAGTATGTTGTTCGTATGTTTTGCATTGCTTTACGCCAAAACTATATTTAAGTATCTTTTGGAAAGATCGTGAAAAATTGTTTTATTCAATATTATAGTGAAAGCATAATAAAAAAAACTCAACAATACTAATAAACATAAGTAATCAATCCAATATAAAGGGATGGACCCTGTGTCCTCTTTTAGAACATTTGTTCTTTTTCTTAAACTTCATGTTGATTACAATACATTGTAATCTCAGAATATTGTTTCTATAGCGTGCGCTTCACTAAATTTCCGAGCAACAAATGACCGCGTGAGTCCGCACACCATATTATGTTCTCGGCAGACAATTTTTTCATAATACGCGGATAAAAATCCTTTGCGGTTAAAAGTCCGTCATCTGCTCAGGCCACCAAACTAATTTTGGTCGTAAGCTTCAAAAATCTTCTCATTTGCAAACCAACCATGAAATCCTTGAAATAT